TTTTCATGTTACACTTTATTTTACAATTTACATGGTAAATAAACTTGAGATGGCAGTTTATGTCATTAAATGTATAGACACTAATCTCAATAAAAGGTTGTTTTTATGACTTTACCAGACCATAAACTGCCTATCATTGAGACTTGAGATTCAGATTGACCAATCACACAATCAAAGGGTTTCTTCCAGGAAATCAGATGTATACAATGCCATTGTGAATCATGCGCAGGGCTTTTTGTACTGATATACATTCCTTAGTTCAAGTCACTCTGGTTCAACTCGCATACCTGTAGGCCTGTTGAAACGCATTGCTCATGAGTCCAGCTCCACTATTACACTTGAACAGCACATAAATCCTACTACTTCTATCTCTTTGGCACGTTTTTTCATGCCTTCACATAATTAGATGCATTTATCTGCAGGGTAATTCATTAAATTTAAGGCTGGTGATTGACAAAGTGCAATAATCTGATCTATTTGGATTGGGATTGGATTGATTTTAAGGGGAAATGTTTGGAATAGATATAAATATGTTAAAATGTGTTCTAGATAGATACTTATAGGTTAGCTGATAACATAATTTACAAGCTAAAATATTTTATAAAACACTCCAATCTATAGATACTATACTAACCCCTAATGATGACTTCACCTTTCTTTGTCCAATCTAGAGGTGCTTGTGCTTCTAGACTTTGAGGCGACGATGCCAGATGAGTTAACGGTGTGTGTAGGGGATGTGGTAAAGAATGTCTCGAAGGCCAAAGAAGAAGGATGGCTGGAGGGAGATCTGAGAGGAAAGAGAGGCATGTTCCCTGGCAACTTCGTCAAGGTCTGGATCTATTAGAACATTGTTTCCATGGTCATATTTAAGCCTTGCCATGGCTCCCCTCCCCTACTTCCTATACCTATTTTCAAAATAGCTCTTCTCTATCCACAGGAAGTTCCGGTTTACCTTTTAGGGGACAGCAACAGAGAGCCAAGAAGCATGAGGAAAAGTAAGTTTTGTTAATGAATTCATCTTTTAAGTGAATGAATTAATCATTTGTCTCATTTGAATCTGAATGCTGAAAGGTTCTCGAAGTGATGCTAAACAAGAAGAGGGTAGAAGAATTATGATGATGATGATGAACATAGGGGTGAATTCAGGTAGATTGGGACACTTTTTGGGACACAAGTCATCTTAATGGCAAAAGGTGTCCCAATAACCTTTAATTTACATGTTGTACGGTTTCTATATTTTGATAAAAGTCATACAAATATTGAGAAGTCATTAGTATTTTTGAACGAACCGGTTGAGTCGATTGATTCAATCATTAGGTGTGAAGCAGCGCAAAGGATTGGTGTAAACTCTCGCGATACTTGATGGAACGTTCGGTCTGCGCAGAGCATCTCCATGTCAAACACACCTCACCTCACTCACGCACACATACACAATAATACTCACTTTTCCTGACATAAACTGCTGAAGGTGAGCGAATCTTTTTAATTAAAGCTTGGAAAAATCAAAATTCCCGACAAGAATAAAGCCTCGTAAATATCCCGATGTGTGATGTAGATGAGTTTTTCAGTGGCAGATTCAAAAACGTTTCCATTCGAAGGTCCACAAGTGTCTGAAGTTGTTCCAAAGAATCTCAATTTAGCAGACTAAAATAAGTAGTCTAATGAAAGGGTTTGTGCCTCCACATCCGGTCCCAAATTATACGCACCAAAATCCATAGGCTATAGTGCTGCCCTTTATCCGCCATAAAACAGTGCTTGTCATAAAAGTGAAGTAGTTGGGTTACTTGTAAAAGTGGAAGCTTGAAGTGCTTTTTGCAGTCTAACGTTAGTCCAGTTCCGTTTGTTCTCACATCTGAACGTACTGACATGTTCCATATGCTTTCCACTTACTTCAACTCTCCAGCAGCGAAGAAACCAAAGGTACAGACGAGGAAATGCGAGGTGATTTTTCCCTACACTTCCCTGCACGAGGACGAGCTGGAGCTGGTTGTCGGAGAGACCATCGAGATTATCAGAGAGGTAGGATATTAAACCCCATTTCTATAAACGCAATAAATTTACCTGGATGGATTCGTGTAGCGTGTTTTACTATGCTGAAGTAGTCTCGTCATGTTGACTACAACAAAAAAAGTATTTCCGAAATCTATATTATTTTTATTTGGATAGAATGATTTGTACTTGATTTGTATGTAAAGACAGTCAGCTGTCACAGCAGCAAAATAATAAACCCAGACAATATGATCAGACATAAAACAATTGTATCATCATGAAGGTGTGCGTGTTTGTGTGTAAAATAATGGCTGTCTGACAGTACATAATTTCAGTTTTCACATGACTGCTTAACAAATAAATAAATGTGTGTGCAATCATTTTTTTTATGTGTAATGACTTATATATGAAGGTTGGAAATGTTTTTTTCTTCCAAATCAGATTTTATTGTAGGCTAACATGTCATGTTTCTTTTTAATACAAATCAATCTGCATTGTTTTTTTCTCTGGTAGATTGAAGATGGATGGTGGATGGGGAAGAAAAATAACCAAATAGGAGCCTTTCCGTCCAATTTTGTGAAGGAAATTTTTGTCCCTTCAAAAGGTGAGCTTGTACACTAAAACTAAAGCTGTAAGGATTTGTATTTCTTTCACATAATGAGCATCACCTTATACAATTGATACAGTGCCGTCTGTAATTCTAATGTTTCTCTCTTAATGTT